GCACCTCAAGGTCATCTCGGCTCGCCCAGAGATCCCTCATGCCAATAAGCTACTGGAACATCTCTCGAATTATTTATTTAAAAAAATCACTCGCAAATCAGACATACCCACTCAATGTGCGCTTAGAGCTGCCATTGATTTCACCTCTTGAGACCGTTTGCAATGCTCCATATGCTTCTATGTCCTTTTCTGACGGTCAGAAATTGTACCAACGGATCAAAAAATGCAAGACCTTGCTTCGCTTTCGTATTCTCAGTGAGAGCTTGAATTGTTGAATTTGTAATTCACCTGTGTGTGTGACTGTGTTTTAGTCCGGTCACTCTGTGGGTGGTGCGCATGTTGTGTTACGTAGTTGTCTTTGGTACATACCCAACCTCGGGTACCCCACTTATGTAGCTGTGCGGAGCCGACAACTGTGGGTAGTTTGTTTCCTTGAAGGGGCACTTTGAGAAATCGACCTTTTCGGAGGATTGTGAGCTCACTTGCCAGGCTCAGTTGTCACGGCCACCTCCTCGTGCAGCGGTGGCGCTGTCGCACTGAACCAACAGCACGTTTCTCAGCTTCGAGAGAACATAATTCAATTTCAATCCCCAGCCATTGATTCATGTTCACACCGATCGATCTGGTGAAAGCCTGGTATGTGATCCTGAGGCCCGGAATGCTTTCCGCACCTTGGCCTCAGGCCATGGAAGTGAGAATTGAGAAGCTTTGCCCGCACAGCGTAGCTGCGTAGCTTGCAGCTCAGAAAAGAAGAGAGGCCACCAACTGAGTTGGGGGACATTCACTCACATCACTGTCACTAGACATGAGTTTCCCTGGGCCAGCGATCCAACAAAGAATGGGCTTCAAGGCAAGAATATCCGGGTGTTCACATCTCTGTCACAATACCAGCCAGACCGGAGAGCTAGGCAACCTGCGACTGCGGTCTAGCTCCTCGATCAATCGAGTGCATGTTTGGCGGTGGACAACCTTCCCGCAAAGTTAGCTCCTTCGATTGGTGGACAGTGCCGCGTCTTGAGCGGCGTCACCGTCTGGAGCCGGGAGTCGCCTTCGTGCACCGCCGTATGCCATACACAGTCGTATGTGGTGTGCGAGCGTGCGAAAGAGGAGGCTGAGTGAGCAATGCTCAGTGGTTGTGGACCTAGCGTCCTTGCTCCTAGTAGCGATGCCCTTTGATACTAGTAGCTTCTTGTTACTAGTAGTAAGGCCAGGAGCTACTAGTAGCATCCTTGCTACCAGTAGCAATGCAATTATTCCTAGTAGCTGCTTGTTATTGTAGCGCTCAGTGGTTGTGGCTATATAGATGAGTCAACAGACTTGCTCGATCCTTCAGTTCTGCTCCTTCTCCTTGTAACCTTCAAAAGATTAGGACACTTCGTGGACTAGACGTCAGGGCTTGCATTTGTTCTGCTGCTATCATGGATCAATCGGCTCTTATGATTGGAGCTGTATGGGCCTGGAATCCAGGCAACAGTGGGAGTCGTGCAATGCCTTTGGAAGATGTTTGCAACAAGGATTGCCAAGCGGACGGTAGTTGATGTTCTCTGTAGTTGTGTTTTTCGTCGGTTTTGCTTGATGTTTGCTACTTTTCCTGCTGCATGCTGTGTGTAGGTTTTGGACTCTCTCTTCTTAAGTGTAGGAAACAGGAAGAACTCAGGAACCACAAAGAGCCATTAAGTCTGATGGCCACTCAGGACTTCATGATTACGGATCAACATCGAGATGTGTTCAATCAAGTTCTTTGCATTCGTTCAAAATGCAAGCTGACTGACTGCATGAAGCATACAGGCTGCTGCTCCCTTCGGGGAGCAGATGATTTCGTCAGTGCTTCTGGTGAACCTCAAGGTGAGGCGGAGCTGGTTACTACGACACTCCCATATATAGATAGAAGATGATGGAAGCCTGCAGTCGCCGAAGATGTTGCCTAAACTCCAAGCGCAGGGAGTGAAAGAATGGAGCATTCCAGCACATATTCATCCTGTATCATCCTGTCCAGCTGTTGTAATAGCAAAGCAAAGCTACTAAAAGCCTAAAAGCCTTCTCGCACCTGTGACTCGTTGCCTTCTTGCCTTGGGGGCGCTACAGGTCCACAAGAGTAGCCGGTTGGCTTTTAGGAAGCATCAATCTTCTGACTTCATGGCACCTGAATGGACCGCACATGGTGCAGACACTTGCAGGGTGAAATCCTCATCTGGCGAGCGTACAAGGACCCCTGCAGGAGAAAGAAAGGAAAACGTGACTTGGAGGCCTCATCATTCCTCACATTCCTTCATCACAGGACTTCTGTCTTAGATGCTCTTATTATACTGTAGACTGGATACGTACCTGTGTTTTGTTGCGGGTGGCCTGGCTTTGGAAAGAATATATATAGACCAACTTAAAGCCTGCCATAGTTGAGGTGGTTTCCGAGTCCAGTCGTAGTTCACGTAGCACTCAGTGGCATTTCGATCAGTGATCCGGCTACTTGGGAGAGCAGCAAATCGAAGTAATCAGAAACGGTATTGCAGACTTGCGTCATGCATCTGAAAAAGTATAATTGGAGTATCCTAGAACGTCTTCACTTGTGATCCGAGCTCTGAGGCCTTTTGACTTCACCACCATTCTTTGAGGCCCTGAACGCATTTTCCAAACCGATCATGTTTCGGACGGCAGGAAAATGTGACGCGCTCGGACTGGCAAGCCTTCTGCAGCCAAGTCGTCGCAGCCAAGGAGCGTCACTGACTTGGGCGTTGACAAGCATAAGGAATGGGTCATGTTACGTCGTGTTCAAAAGCATGGGTACCATATGTAAAGGTTTAAACAAGTTAGGTTTCCCTTAAAATCTAGGAAGCAACGAGCGCTTCTTCAACGAAGCTCCCCCCGCTCTCAGGCGGGCTTGAAGAAGCGTGAGCTATCCTGCGTCCTAGGTAGTAGATACTTAATCTACTAGCTACCTAAGTAGGCGCTTACTTAATGAAGCGGGGGGCGGGAAGAACAAGTTTCAACACTTTCCTGTTTGGCTTTCAGTTCTTCCAGCCGGAGTTCCGTTCACGAGATGACATAAATGCTGGAGTTATTCAATGTTGTTGACACTTCTAGAGAGCTGGGTCAAATTGGGTGGTGTAAACGCATAATATTTGCAGCTTCATTTATCTTCATTTGCTTATTTGCAGAGGAGACCAGGGACAAACCTGTTGTGAGCATCAACGGCTCTCACTTCCTGTATACCACACAGGCTCACAGTCGTTTTGTTTTCGCATTCCGAAGAACCGGCAATTCGGCAATGGATGTCCCTGTGCTTTTCAACATGCCTGAAACGGAACCGAACCAATGCAGACTTGAAAAGTTTGGAAACACCACTATTCTGATAGTATTTGTACTTGGCCTTTCCATTGCGCTCGGCATTTCGTTGCGGTCGGGATTCGGCCCTTCAGTCGTGTTCTTCCAGCCTGCCAGCAGGGAGATATCGTCCTCGTGGCTGCTAGCAAAGACAACGTCAACGTTATGTTGGCCATGGGCTCAAATTCAAGAGAACATGCTTTTCATGATTCGTCCTTACTGACTCTTAGTATTTATTTGCATTGAAGCTGCAATTCTGAAGAGGTTCTGAAGCTCCTGTACAAGATGGTGGACCTCTTCAAGGCACAGATGGTCTGAACAACATATGATGCGGGGGCGCAGACTATGCAGAGACGCTGGATGGCCCACCTACTGTAATCCTTCCAGCACCTGTTGCTCTGATCATGGCAATCAGGTCTGTATGTAGATGACTGATACAGGTTTCTGCACTCTCACGGTCCACTGTCCTGTTTGTAAATGGTCGTCAATGGTGCGAGCTTTGCAGCACAGTGCATTGCTTGAATTTGTCATACGTTCGAAAGACACAGAAAACTCAATGTATGAAGCCACTCTTGATTGTCAGGCCTACTTCGGCGGCTCGTTTGACGAGAATCAGGTCTGAATATATTACTTTTCAGAATCCAGAGCAGCCATGCCATGCAGCAAAAAGGCTGTAGACACTGAACAGCTACTTGGTGAATCTGATCGTCCTTGGGATCCTGACAGCCTCATCTTGAAACAGTTCTTGTCTATAACATTCCATTGCCAACTGGAAGTTGGCTCTTAAGCCATGATTGCTGAGATGTAGGTCACTCCTTCAATCTCCTTCATGGCCACAAGCACCAAATGAACTTTGCAGTGCAGAAGCGAACTTTAAATGCACGTGTGGAACATTTTGTCATTGTATGTGTTTGCTTTCTTTTCTCATGTGAAAACCTCGTTGGTACGCGAAGACAAACAAAAGTTAATGCAATGATGCCTCATAGATTCTCAAAGATACCTTAAGTGCATACTTTCGGTTGACACTTTTCAATTCTTCATGTAGTTTCCTCCTTTGAAAAGTTACACACCAGTAAAAGCAGTCAGATGGTGGCAGGTGCGAAAGCACTTTGTTCTGATCTACGAGCTGTTGCTCAGCGGCAACATCGATGAGGGTTGTTTTTACTTGGAAGGTCTGAAGCTGTTCAAGGGTTCAGTCTGAGATTATGTGTCATTCTGTAGGTGTTCATAATACATGCCAGTGAATGCAACTCGGGTTAATCTAAGTGTTGCAGGACAGGTCACCTTGGTCAGAGCACCTTCAAACATGTTGCTGGCAATAGGCAACATGGTGTTTGTCCACCAAACGGCCGTGCACAATGCTTAGCAGAGCATGCAAACTGAGAACGCCTTCAAATCCCATTCGCAGCTAGCCTAAACACAGACAGAGGACAGAAAGTCACTATGGGGACTTGACACATCTTGACACCAATCTCGAGTTTTGACCTCGGACAGCCAGCAGCAGAGAATGTGCTGCAAGAGCTTTGCATGTGGAGTTTCAAGCTGAAGGAAGATTAAGATTTGCTGCCCATCTTCTGCTCAAGCAAAGAACACGTGGCAGATGTGTTGCGACTGTTTGAACGTGATATCTCTTGCCATCTCTGGCCCGTTCTGTGGTTTGTGAATCTCAATCCTCATAGCAGATGATCTTCGTAAAGCTTCTTGGTTGCAACTGAACAACATGCATCAACATGCCGCACGACCTACTTTGTAATGGAATCACGACATTGCAATAGCCACTCTTGATTCTTACCTGCTTCTTTCAACTTGGTGACAAGTGTCACTAGACCTAATTTCAGCAAAGCACGACATGACGAGTTGAATAGTCTGGTTGTTACGCAGACTCTACAATCTAGGCTTCTTGTCAGTCTCAGGCTGTTCTTCGCGCCGCTCGTCGCCGTGGCATCACGGGTTGTGTCTCATAGAGAAGCTTTGCTGCTTGGCAGCGTTGGCCAGGGCATACGTACAAACATGTGCGTGTCTGTGTGTGTGTATCCTTTGGAATCACAAGGCGCCTTTTGACATCTCTCTTAGTTCCTCAGTCTAGCAGGGAATCAGGGACGTTTGGCTTGGCCTGATCCAAGGAAGCTCCAACCATTCGTCAGGATATGATCGAAGGACGCTTCAATCATGTATATATATATATATATCTGCCTACCTACACCAGAGCGATTGATTCTTTAGTCTCGCTCATAAACTGGAGGCAGAGTTCTCAACAGACTAGTCTGTCAGTCCTTTTCCATTTTCACTACCCGTATGGGCTATGAGTGGTTCTTTCACGTCGCTATAACAAACAGGAGGCATCTCATCTTGTTGACCCGCTTACCTACACTATATATAGAGCGATTCTCTCGCTCATAAAGCTTGTCTGTCGGTCCTCTTCCACTTCACTACCGCTACAAGGGAGTCTTTTGTTTGGCTCACAAAAGCTGGAGGCCTTGACTCCCTTGAAGTCCTGTGATTGGACTCCACTGTGTTACTAAGGTTCTCCCTGTTAAGCAAGGTATCTTGAGGGCTGCTGGCGGCATTCCAACCGTAGATACGTTTTTACCAAGTGTGCACCTTGGAGTCATGCGTGTGTTTTCCTCGGATGTTCTAAGATTCTTGACGAGATTTATGCAGCAGGGATGGCAGCAGAAAAAAGGAGCCTGCACCACCAACGAAGACACTCCTGATTTCCTCATGATAGTGGGATGATCCTGCTTGTTGTTAGAACAAGACTTTGTCCATTGCTCCGGTTTGCAGCAAAGGGCTAGTGAGTTCTGCAGACTTGCGTTCGTTGTCCGATCCGTGTTGTCAGGCAATTTTTCATTCACGTCTTCATGGGAGGCGGCTCAATCCGCACGTGCTAACCTTTATCACGAAAGCCAGCCGATAGGCTAGGCTGAAGTTGGGTTGGGCGAACGAAGTGAGCAAAGGGTGTGTGGGCGGGTCAATTTCGGAGGGCTAACCCAGAGCCTGGTGGGGGAGAGCGAAATAAACGAGTACACAATTGGGATTGAACATGTATGGTTTTTGGGGTGTTGTGATGCAAGTAATGTAATTGATGGCCAGAAGTGCATCATTAGCATCATGAGGTGCTCAGGAGGCAATGTAAACTGTTTTCTACCAGGGGTGGGAGTTTATGTCGACGATAGGCAAGAGGGGACAACGGGACGCGAAAAGTGGTTGGAACTATTCCAGGAAATGTCGACTTCACCCCCTAGCAACGGTAGCCTTTGCCCGATGTTAGCCAATCACTTGATCTTGCACGCCGAGTCTTTGAGTTCCAGTGCGCTCTCGATTTCACCCCCCATTGCCATATTGATGTCTTCTTATTGGAGGCTGGCTTTCGTCCCCTCCCTGCTCAGGTATTACTATCTATTGTTGTATACCTGTTGTGCAGCTTCACAGATAGAAAGAAAGAAGGAGAGCCCTAGTGGTAGTTTTTTGGAATGGGGGATTGTCCAACAGTACATGCGAAGCATATACAGTGTCAATAGAGCGGAACAGAAACAAAGACCGAGCACTGTGAAAGTCAGAAATGTTGTTGTCCACTACTGTCAGTTTTTGTTAATGAAGCTTCCATTCCTTGCAAACCTGACTCCTTATGAATTTGTTATTCTTTTTGGAGTGTGTGCACTTGAGCGTTCATCTTGACCCAATGAGCGTTTGGAAGCAGGGTGGGGTAAACCAAATTATCGTTGGCTCTATTTTAGGACATATGCCTGCAAAGGTACGATTTTGTTTGGCCTTGGTCGGTCTGGACTCCCCATTCTATAGTGAGCTGGTGTTTATTTTTTAGCTGGGCAATCAATTCAGTAGTTGAAAAAAAGGGTGGAAACCGTTCCGGGAAACCATTTTATTCCTATAGAATGTGGAGTCCAGGCCGACCATGGGGATTTCATGGACCATGTTTTGACAATCTGTTTGTGCTCGCAAGCGTACAGCTCTGTTCATGAGGGAGCGTGAGCAGCAACAAGGAAACGGCAAGACTCTTGTTCATCCAAGGCACGACGAACTGTTTGTCCTGGCGGGGGCAGAGCGGAAAACCTTGTGGCACAAGAATTTCCCAATATACGCGCAGGCCAGCTTAGCATGTTCTTTTTTGTAACCTGATCAGCCATGTTGCTGCTTGCCCTTTTCAAGAAAGAATTCAGTTTCATTCCAAAAGCGCAGCATGGTCAATAGTTTGCGTTCGACAAAGAAAGAGGTTTGTGGTTTGCGGCAAAGACAACTGCAGGATCCTTTCGGCGGGAGTGTTGAGGCTGGGGTCTTAAACAATTGAAACAACACATCGCGTATCATGGCGTACTCACGAGCGCTTGAGAACTGACTTGATCGCCTAAACGCACTGCAAAGACCTCCTTCAAGATTACTGAGCAGTGTGAGAAAACTTACTTGTCCTACTCAGGTCACTCGTTTGACAGGCGGGGAGGTGGCCTGTCTGAAATATGTTCAAAGTCACAAGACTGGTCGCGGGAGAAAGTGCTTTAGAGTCATAAGCATGAACATCTTACAGATAGGTTTCGACAGCTTGAACCTTGAGAGAAAGATTGACATCCGATGGCATCCCTTGGCCTTCTTCTCCCACAGTTCTTGTCACATGCCTCACATGCCATACTAATTGCTGTTAAGCCATCAGACATTTGCAGCTTCGATCATGTATGTGTGGAGCAGATAAGTCAAAGGGCTGTTCTGGCTGAGGCGATATCAACCATAGCAACTTGCCATCAAAGATCTGACGAATGGGCACGAGCAGACCCAAGAAGGTGATTTGAGCTGAGCATGCGCTCAGAAGTAGATGTTCATTTGTTGAGCAACAACTCAAGGATAATTCATGTAGCAGCGCCCCAGGGGTACGTGGACTCGGCAGTGTTTTCAGCTCATACTCATTGAACTGCTGCAGTATTTTTCTTTTGGAAAGGCCATGAGTGACACCGTTCTCGCCAAGAATGTGTTTGAGGCATTCTTTGCGCCCAAGGGCTCCTTCATTCGAATGTCCGCTGACAAATTGATGCCATGGTATTTAAAGTGGTTTGGCACGCCAGGCGCCTGTGGGTGTGAAGCACGAAAGACCTTAGTTGGCACTTGGCAGGATGTATGACTTGACCAGTATGACATGCTTGGTTACAGCCAGCTTGGACATGTCATCATCACGGCTCAAAAATCTATAGGAACCAAATCATTAGTCATTAGTCCGAGCGTGAGCTATCCTGCGTCCAGAGGTAATAGCGTCCTAGTAGCTAGTAGCGAACTACTCCCTTACTCAATTAAGTAGGAGGTCGGCGCAAAAAATAACAAGATGGAACCCACGAACCCGAATGCAAACACGATCGAAAAACTAATATGTCCAAAGGACACTCTTGTAGGACACTCTTGCGGGACACTCTGTAGGACACTCTTGTGGGCCACTCTTGTAGGAAACTCTTGTGGGACACTCTTGTAGGACACTCTTGTGGGACACTCTTATAGGACACTCTTGTGGGACACTTGTGGGACACTCTTGTGGGACACTTTTGTGAGACACTCTTGTAGGACACTCTTGTGGGACACTCTTGTGAGACACTCTTGTAGAACACTCTTGTGGGTCACTAGCAGGACACTCTTGTGGGACACTCTTACACGACACTCTTGTAGGACACTCTTGTGGGACACTCTTGTGGGACACTCTTGTGGGACACTCTTATAGGACACTCTTGTGGGACACTCTTGTGGGACACTCTTGTAGGACACTCCTGTACGACACTCTTGTAGGACACTCTTGCGGGACACTCTGCGGGACACTCTTGTGGGACACTCTTGTGGGACACTCTTCTAGGACACTCTTGTGGGACACTCTTGTAGGACACTCTTGTGGGATACTCCTGTAGGACACTCTTGTGGGGCACTCTTATAGGACACTCTTGTGGGACACTCTTGTGGGACACTCTTGTAGGACACTCTTGTGGGACACTCTTGTGGGACACTCTTGTGGGACACTCTTGTGGGACACCTTGTGAGACACTCTTGTGGGACACTCTTGTGGGTCACTTGCAGGACACTCTTGTGGGACACTCTTAGGAAACTCTTGTGGGACACTCTTCTAGGACACTGTTGTGGGACACTCTTGTGGGACACTCTTGTAGGACACTCTTGTGAGACACTCTTGTAGAACACTTGTGTGGGTCACTTGCAGGACACTCTTGTGGGACACTCTTACACGACACTCTTGTAGGACACTCTTGTGGGACACTCTTGTAGGACACTCTTGTAGGACACTCTTGTGGGTCACTCTTGTAGGAAACTCTTGTGGGACACTCTTGTAGGACACTCTTGTGGGACACTCTGTGGGACACTCTTGTGGGACACTCTTGTGGGACACTCTTGTAGGACACTCTTGTGGGACACTCTTGTGGGACACTCTTGTAGGACACTCTTGTGGGATACTCGTGTAGAACACTCTTAAGGGACACTCTTGTGAGACGCTCTAGTGGGACACTGTTGTGGGACAGTCTTGTGGGACACTCTTGTGGGACACTCTTGTAGGGGAAAGTTTGGAAAAGGATGTTGCCATTCCAAGTTGACTAACCCTTTTGTCGGCAATGCAGGGGTAAAATTTAGAGAAGGATGTTGCCAATTCAACTTGACTCACCCTTTTGTGAGCAATGCAGGTGTAAAATTTAGAGAAGGAAGTGGCCATTCCAACTTGACTCACCCTTGTGTGGGCCATGCAGGGGCAAAATTTGGAGAAGGAAGTGGCCATGCCAAGTTGACTCACCCTTTTGTGGCCAATGCAGGGAAGTGGCCCTTCCAAGTTGGCCTACCCTTTGGTGAGCCACCCAAGGGGAAAGTCTAGAGAAGGATGTCGCCAGATGTTTAAGTGGTTTAACTCTGTCTTCTAAATGTTGCTTTGACATGTAGGGTAAGTTTGGAGGAGATAACTCATTAGTAGGACACTCTTCTGGGACACTCTTGTAGGACACTCTTGTGGGACACTCTTGTGAGACACTCTTGTGGGACACTCTTGTGGGTCACTTGCAGGAC